GCTTTTGGTTTTGTGTTGTTTGAACTTTGAAGGGGGAGCCATAACATATCTGTATGTGTGTTTGTGTGTATTATATATACACTCTGTGTGTATATACACATACACACACATATATACATACATATACATGTATATATGTATACACACATACACACACACACACATATATAAATGTCTTTCTCTCTCTCTCCTTCTCTTTATTTAGAAACCAGTTATCATTGTCCACAACTTGTGCAAAGAGTACAGATATGGGAAGGCTTGTTCTACTTCATGTTTCAAAAGGCAGCAGAAGAGAAAATTGGCTACCAAAAATGTTTCTTTTTGTGTTAAAAAAGGTAACACATCCCTCAAATGTATTTAACTTAATAATTAGCAGCCATTTGATGAGAGAAGGCCATGCCTCTTTGCTTTGAACCCTACTTCTTAGGAAAATAAAAAAAATAACTGAGATTCATTAAAGCAGCATATATAATACATTTTTAAGCTATATTTTAATAGCAATAGTTTCTTTGCAGGAGAAATATTAGGTCTTCTGGGACCAAATGGTGCTGGTAAAAGTATAACAATTAGCATGATAATGGGAGATGTAGATCCAACTGCTGAGCAGGTATGTGTAACTTTTACTTTAGAAAGAAAAGCATATTATATTTATGTTATTTATTATTGTATGGTAACACTGGGGATCCAGTTTAGGAAGGCAATAGCAATATAATTGCTTTAAATAATATTACTGTAATTTATCAGAGAATAGACAAAGAAAAGGCAGACCCATTGAAAAAAATCTATCTATTAATTTATCACAGGAGTAATAATTGGAGGGAAAACTTTCTGCGGAGCTTCCTATGTTGCCTTCATTGCAACTTAGTTATCCACAGTCCTTATGATCTGCCATATTGCCTGCTTCTGCATTATTCATATATTATGCTAGATCTCCTCTTCCTTCTTGGACTATATCAAGAGCTTTAATAAACTTACTGATTTAATATAAATGAAAGTCCTTGTTGATCAGAAATGCTCCTTGTCACCTTTTTGATATTTCAAAGTATATTCTTACATTGGACAAAAGCAAATGAGATCCTTATGCTACCTATTTCGAACAGGTGCAGATCAAAGGAGCTACGACAGAGGAAAATGCTGCTCTTGGCTACTGTCCTCAGGAGAATCCGCTCTGGTCCAACCTGACCATGAAAGAACATTTGGAGATTTTTGCAGCCATAAAAGGGATCAGGAAGGATGATGCTACGATGGCCATTAATCGGTACTGAGAGCCCAAGATATTGTTTTTATTATAAAATGTATTTCTCAAGATTTTTCTTTCTTAGGAGTTGAATTTCTCAGGCTGCATGTCTGAAATTAACAATACTCTGGAAAGTATGAAATTGCTTTCTGAGTAATTAGCAAACAACAGGTATTTTTACGTATCTGAATAACATACATACATACATACATACATACATACATATCCATTCCTGTTATTTTATTGCAGTGTGCTGTGTTTTGCAATTGTCATACAAAGAGCCTCACATAGAGATTAAAACAGCAAAATTTCCGCTTTTTTCAGAATAGCTCGAGTTCTAGTCCTCGAAGAGCATTTTAAAAAGACAACTAACACATTATCTGCCGGATTAAGTCGAAAAGTAAGCTCTGTGATTGTCTATATTTTAGCTACAGGTCTTGTGATACCATATCCAGCTGTGCTTTGACATTCCCCCTTTTAAACTTCTCCCTCAATGCAGTTTTTGTCCAGCTTGTCTGCTCTCTGAAAGTATTTCCTTAAAATAAAAAAATGAAGTTGAGAAAAGAAGAGGCGGGGCTGAAAATAAGGGAGGAGGCCCTTTGGCACGAGGAGCCATGCTAGGACACCATGGATATCTGCATTTTATGCTGGCAACACCATGCATAACTAGAATTAGTATGATGTGCTCCTTGCTTAAAAAATATGTCACTCTACACTTACAGTTGTAATAAAAATGCATTGCCAAACTCTTATCTTTTATATCTCAACAATCAAGTATGTATTGTTTGAATTAATGAAAAGTTTTTGACAAAATTCCATGGGGATGTGATTTCCACTCATACCTCTTGTAGCTTCTTAGTGTGCTGTTAGAAAATGTTATTTTTGTATCTGTGTTTGTGATGAATCTCAGGCTTTCTAGAGACACCCAGCTGTCTTGTATTTATTCATGATTCCAGGGATTAAAAGAGAATGTTGCAAGGCTTTCAGTGTCCTCCTTTTCCAATGGGAATGCATTAGGCTATTTCTCATTGAAACTGCCAAGTCATATAAAATAAAATAAAATATAAAATAATAAAATAAAATATAACCAGCCAATCTTGAGATTTATGAAATGCCCATTGATATCATGCCAGTGAAATGGAAGGAGATAAGACAATTAGCTATTTGTCTATCTTCACCATTCCATTTGAAGAAAATGTCTCTTTCAGAGGTCCTTAAATCTAGAGAGTCTCCAGGAATAGCACAGACCTGATACTAATTTTAGTTTATTTATTTACCAACTTTCTACACTGACTATCATTCTTGCATACTTGCGTGACTCTTTCCAATTGCATTTGAAATTATTTTAAGAGCTAGGAATAGTTACATATCCTATGGATCTAGTGCTGCTTTGTTCACGTTCCTGATACATCCGTGAAGTACTGACTAAAATGCATTAATTTTAATCTTGCCTGTTTCAAAAATACACAATCTAACCAATAAGGGAAAGAAGCAAGTTTTACCATATTCCATAAGAGTGATGCACAAGCTGAGGCACTTGTTCTGATTTCTCATCCATCTCTTTATACCTCTTTATATTATGCTCATTTAGATTTATTGGGATTAGATTCAGGCATTCTAGTGTTCTGGCTAGGATGTTCCACTCATCAATTAAAGCTGAATCATAGCAGAATTCAGGTTTCCTTCATTTTCATCAGCTGAATGGTTTCTTTCGGAGAGCAATTCATGCTGCAGAACAAGGATGAAGGTGCCATTTTGATGACTCACCACATGGAGGAAGCAGAGGCAGTGTGCGACGGAGTAGCTATCATGGTGTCTGGACAGCTCAGGTAGGTTTTCCAGTGCATGCTTTCTTTGTTGAGCACATATGACTTTCTTGTACTTTTTCTCTTCTTGGTTATGATGGATGAAGTTCAAACTCTGAAACAGAGTAAGCAATAATGGAGTTCTTGAATACCACAACACTTTTAAGCATTACTTTGAAGAGAGTTATGGTAATGCACTTAGTAGTTTATATTTATATTTTATTACTATTTCATCTTAAATTGTATTTTGTCTAGATTCCATTTTAAATTGTATTTTATCAAGTTCCATTTTCAATAGTATTTTATAAAATTTCATTTTGAATTGCTTTTATTAAATTTTAGTAACAAATTGTTGCTGGAACTTTGTACTTTGATATGGCCCAAGGGCTAATCAATAAAGACTTATTATTATTATTATTTATAGGAGAAACTTTCTATGTGCACTGATTCTTATATGCAAATAATTTCTGCATGAAAAAAGGATACAGACTTTACACAAAACTAGACCAAAACCAAAATAATGGGATTTGTTGTTATGGAAAAGAACGTGAACAATACGAACTTTAGTGGCAGATAAACAATAACATTATAGTCCAAGTATCATCCTTCAAATACCTTAGTATAGAATTTTAACTTTTTGGTATCTGGTGTGAACAAATTTAATCTATTTCTGATGAGGCTAACAATAGTGCTAAAGCCAGTCTACATTCCTAAGGGTGCTGTTTTGTGTTTTGTGTTGCTCTTCAACCTTAACAATCAATTTTGAAACTGGGATGATCCTGCTGGAATGTGAAAATCAGCTCTATATCTGGCTTAAGCTTCATCTTTCCAGTGATTCTCTATCCATCATAAATCTTTTTGACACTTTTTCTTTTTCTAGGAAAACTAGAATCCACAATGATCTATGCCAATGCAACTCCTAGTGTCAAGCTCTGTTGGGTACGAGACTATTAAGAGTCATAATCCAGCACCCTATGTTCAGTACATCTTTGCAAATAGATCAAAGTGATCTAAATAATACTGGAGGGATATAAACAGGAAACCCTTCTCTCCATCAAATTACTTATGTTGTGCTATCTATCCTACACACAGTACAGTCTCTTTCTTTGGCCTTCTTTCATCGCTTGACCTTTGTGATATTGGAGAGAAGGTGTTTTGCTCTGTTTTTGCAGAGCAAACCTGTTACTGTGATCTGGAGAAACTAGAGCCCCTACTCCAGATATTCCTCCCATCTCTTATTTATACAATGTGGATCCCACCGTTACAACCCCTGCACATGCTTATTTGTTTGTTAAATTTATTTGGCAGCTATCTCACTATAAGGCTACTTATACGGGTTACGTTGCACATGTTCCAATCAGGTTTTTATTTGTTTTATGTCATCGTAATGAAATCTTAATATCTCCAACTTCTTGAAAAATTTCTTGCAGCTGCCATTGCTTCACACAGGAGCATTCTGTTGTTATTCTGCAGATTTATAACTGCAGAAAAATGTGTTTATAATGTTGGTTTATATCCTTTTGTCATATATGATTAGTAGTAAAATATATATTCAATCTGTTTCATTTTAAATCCTCATTTTTTTTCAACTTACATTTCTTAAACTACAGTACATTCAACTTACTGGAATATCTCTCTTGACATTCTTAATTCTCACTTCCACATAATAATGGAGGCTTCAGAATGTTCTTACTAGTTTTAGCATTATGAGTGAATCCCAGCCTGTCAACTTTCAGCAAACCATCTTTTAGCTAGGAAATTCCTGTAAATTTGCAAGGCAAGCTGCTCAGACTTATTTAGTCCACGTCACTCAAAACAGAGAGTTCTTAGATGTGAATTGGATTGAAAAGGTAAGGGAAAAACATATCAAAATATAACAGGATTCCAAATATCAGATATAACATGGATTGAGGCACGTGATGCAATGGAAAATAGGGTATGACTTAAAGGCATTTCTCCCAGCCTCTCTCCATTTGCAATTGTTGCCTGTCAGCCCAAATGATAGAAGATCTGATAGAAGAGAATATTTGTTGTTCAGGTTTGAACTGAAGGGTTTTTGATGCTCTATGAGCTTTGTTGTTTTCTTGCAGATATTTCATTACCGAACTATGTATCATCATCAGTGGTTACAGAAGAGCACAAGGTCCCATGCTCCTTGTACTCCCATGCACTTAATCCTTTCTCCTCTCTACATAAATTTAGCAATGCCATTGGAAGTTCAATGGCCTGATATCTTTTAAAATCAGCCTGTGGGGGCATGGATCAGAATAATGCTACCCAATAACAATTTGATGCCATAAATTGTATGCTGATATTTTGTTTTGGCAGGTGTCTGGGTTCAATTCAGTACCTGAAAAGCAAATCTGGAAAAAATTATTTGCTGCAAATAAAATTAAAGGGGGTAGAACAAGGAGATCTTGTGAATACTCAGATTCTAAAAATGTTCCCACAAGCAGCTCGTCAAGAAAGGTAACAGCAACATTTATCTACAACTGGACTGAATGCTTAAAATTGTTTCAAATGGAAATCCTTGTGCTTTTGGGATGGTTTAACTGAAGAATAAAATTCCTTTTCTAAAAAATTAATCTCCTTTTAGGAAGATTTTGCTTCTGAGGACAAATTCATTCCCTTGATCCAGATGGTCATGCTGTATGTTTTGCCTGGTAGATGTAGTTGCTTCTCAAAATTAATTTCCATATTGTGGCAAAGATGGAGATGTACAGTATATAATGTGGAAAGCCAGTTTGGTCTTCAGGCTAGAAAGTCGAAGACTGAGTTCTAGTCCTGCCTTAGCCATAAACGCCAGCTGGGTGACTTTGGGCCAATCGCTCATTTTCAGCCCAACCTACCTCACTGTTTTTGTGGGGAAAATAGGAGGAGGAAAGTGTGTTGGTTATGTTCAACACCTTGAGTTATTTGTTAAAATTAAAAAGGTGGGATACAAATAAATAAAATCTTTGTTACTCCTCCCTGAACAAACTGCACCTTTATTTTTAAAGTTTCTATATATACAAATTGGGTCGCTCTGCCCAATAGTCAATAGGTCAGAATTATCAGTGATGCAGATTATTGTTTATTATTGTATAGTATCTTGGTTTTAATTGCCTTCTAGAAAGTTTTAATTTTTATTGATCATTAAATTTATTTGCCACCATCTTGTTTTAAAGCCACTCTTGGCATCTTACAGCATCAAAACATTAAAAACATCAGGGATAAAATGAAAGTACAATCAAAGTAGTTACAAGATGGAGAAGAATGCAGCTGGATGGGGGGAAGGTGGGATTGGGTCTTAATTAATCAACCTCCTCCAGTGTGATATTTCCCCATTATCACTGAAAAAGCTAAAGTGGTTTCCAGGGACAGGCTATTCCATAATATTGAGGCCCACACAAAGACACACTTTTTAATAGACTCAACCCCTCTCATTTCCAGAAAGTGGGGAACCACCAATAATTTTGCCAAGGAAGATCAGTTTGAATGGGCTGACTCAAGTTGGAACAAGCAACCCCGGAGGTGGCATTATTATTTCTCCTCCCCTTAGGATATTTATGGTTTCACCTATTTTTAGGATATCCACTTTGTTGGTCTACAAGATTCCAATGGAAGATGCACCACCTCTCTCTAAAGCTTTTTCCATGCTAGAAAAAGGTAAGTCTGTTAGGGATATACACCCTAGCAGAACGTGCAACGGCAGTCTAGCAGGCAGGCAGATATCTGAGACAAAACGTTGTAGTAGCTTACACTCAGTAAGACAGATACACTGTGCAAGTTAAATAGTTTTTATTCCAGCAAGAGTTATAGCATAGTCAAACGGTCAATATATCATACACTAAGTTCAGTCAGTCTGGGGGTTATTCAGTTTGCAAAGTCCAGTGTCGAAAAAGAGTTCATTAAACTTACAATCAATCAGTCCAGTGATATATCTCTTGTGCAGTCAGAGATATGAAGAAATAATCAAACCCCTTTTCTTCTCTCAGCAAACACGCAGTTATCACCATCAATCCATCATTGTCAGCATTCCAGTAAAAGCCGGCAAACAGTGAGCCCTCTTGCTCCCTCTTATGGTGATTTTACAACCGCACCCAAAAACTTGGTTTACAGTTTAAAGTGATACATACATAGTTTATATATATTATATATAAACATAGTTTATATATATTATTTTACCCAAACTAAGTTAGGTAACCAATAGACCAATCTTATCAGACCATTTTTCACAGATTGTCTAACACTCAATATCTAAGGTCAGTATGCTTAGATCTTGTTTTTACAGCAATATCTGTAGCCAACCTTATGGCTGCTTGATTGTCCTCATATACTACAATGGCATCTTTAACAGTTACTCCCATATCTAACAACAACTGTTTATACAGAATTAAATCAGTACATAATAAAGATAAACATGAAAATTCTGCTTCCATTGTGGACATACTTATATGTTGCTGTCTAATTGACCTCCAACCAATCAGTGTTTTACCTAATAGTATAGCCATACCTGAAGTTGATTTCCTAGTATTTATATCTGTTGCAAAACTTGTATCAGCATATGCACTTAAAATCAAATCATCTTTTGGCTCTAAATACAATGCATAGTGCATTGTCCTTTTAAGATACCTTAATATTCGCTTTAGCGCTTGCCAGTGACATTCATTTGGTTCAGCATTAAATCTCGCCAATTGATTAATGCCATAAGCAATATCTGGCCTTGACCAGTTACTTATATATGATAAACTACCTATTAATGACTGATAAATAGTCTTATCAAATTTTGAACTTTGAGCATCAGTACGACAAAATTCCTGACTCATTGGAGTTTTTGCCGGTTTACAAAGTTCCATTTTATACATTTTTAGCAATTGGTAAATTTTATCTTCTTGTGATATCTTAAAGCCACTATTGGTTTTGTTTATTGTCAATCCTAAATACTGTCTTATTTCTCCTAAATGCTTTAATTTTATCCTCTTACTTAATAATGATATTATCTCAGTAGCTTCATTATTAGTTTTCGTTATTAAAGCAATATCATCTGTAAACAACAATAATAATGATACTATTCCATTTGTCTCTCTCTTGAATAAACATGGATCAGCTAAACCTGCTTTAAATCCTATATTATTTAACTCATTTACAATATATTGGTTCCATTCATAACCAGATTGCTTCAATCCATAGAGACTCTTTTTCAGTTTCCAACAGTCATTATTATTTTTATCATCCTTAATACCTACTGGTTTTCTTAAATATATAATGTGCTGCAATGGTGCATGCAGATAGGCAGTTTCTACATCTAAGTGATTTATAATATAGTTCTTTTTAGCTGCCCACACTAAAGCTGCTCTCAAGGTTGTTGCCTTTAAATTTGGTGCAAATACCTCATCATAATCACATGCAGTTTGATTAAATCCTTGAGCTATCAACCTAGCCTTATGGGTAACAGTCCCATTTTTACCAGTTTTTAACTTAAATATCCATTTGCAACCAATGGACTTTTCACCTGGAGGTAATTTGGCATCTTCATAAACTTTCATTTCCTTTAATGAATTTAGTTCCTTTTCCATTGCCTTTTGCCAATTTTCCTGATCCTTTGCAGGATACATCCTAAGTTCTTCAACACTAGTTGGAACTTTACTTACTTGGCAAACTACACTTGCTTGATACCTGTCAGGTGGTCTGGTTACACATGTAGAACGTCTAGGTATTACAGGGCTTACAGGTGGACTTTCATGTTCTACCTGTTCCTGATTATCTATTTCTTCCTGTTCTGGTATTTCTTCCTGTTCTGGTCCTATATGCTCTTCATGTACTTCCTCTTTAATTGTACTCTTCTTATTACTGATTTTTTTTTTGTCTTTTGTAGGGTTCTATAATTACTTCCTTACTTGAATCTTGCTCCAGTTTTTCCCATCCTACATGTTCCAGGAATTGTGCACTAGCACTACAGTAAACTCTAGATGTACCTTTTTCTCAGAATCTGTATGATTTGTGATTAGATTCATAACCTACAAAAAATAACCTTTTAGCCCTATGTTGCCCTTTCTTTCTCAGTTGTGTAGGGATATGCACCCATGCTGGTGCTCCAAATGTGTGCATGTAACTTAGGTCAGGTTTTCTGCCATGCCACCGTGTGAATGGTAATTCACCTGTTGTTGAGTTAACAACATTATTCAATATATGATTACCACACATTATTGCTTCTCCCCACAAAGTTTCAGGTAATCTTGAATCTGACAGCATAGTACGAGCCATTGCTTGTAATGTTTGGCCTCGTCTTTCTATAAAGGCATTATGTTGTGGCCTATATGGTGCAGACTTTTTATGTTCAACACCTGCCATCTTCAGTTTATTTTGGAATTTATTGTTTATAAATTCCGTACCATTATCAGTGATAAGAGTTACTAATTTCCTTTTAGTTTTTCTTTCAGCGAATTTAAGCCAATTAAAGAAATTTTTATATGTTTCCGTTTTGCTTTTCATTAGATAACAGAAACCATATCTGGAAAAATGGTCCATTATACTTAGTATGTAACGAGCACCTCCCACACTTGGTTTTTTAGGACCTATAACATCAGCAAATACTACCTCTAGAGGCTCTTTTGTTTTAAATCCATTAACTCTATTTGCTGGTATCACCTTGCTTTTCTCTTGACTACAAGAATTGCAGTGCAAATACTTACTGGAAAGTTTCAGTTTTATACCCTTAGATAGTTCTACCGTTTGTTTAAGCATTTTAAAATTTATATGCCCTAAATGTCTGTGTAACAAATGTATGCATTCATCGTGAGGTTTAACATTATAAACTGTGTTAGCCACCTCTAAATTATCATTTAACACATACAAATCACCTTTTAAAGTTGCAGTAACTTTTTTTACCTTCTTTTTCAATTATGCAATTGTCTCCCCTAAAGGTAATTACATAACCTAGTTTAACCAAAACTCTAACTGAAATCAAATTAAATGTAAGCTGTGGTACATATAACATTTTTACATTTTCTTTTATGCAAGAACAATATGCTATACCTTCACCTTTAGCCTTAAGTTTCCAGCCATTAGCTAACGATATCTGCTGTGAACTTGTGGACATCTTAACAAATCTTTTCTTATCTTTCGTTATGCAGTGTGATGCTCCACTATCTACCACCCATAAATTACTGTTCACAGTTTCGTTGCTATACATGGCTAACTCTATGCATTCTTTATCCTTTTTATGCTTTTTAGCATTCTGGCTGGCTTTTCGGCTTTTTCCTTTCTTGCAGAATCTAGCCAAATGTCCTTTTCCTCCACAATTAAAACATTTTCTAATTGTATATGTTGACGAAGATATTTTTTCTTCTTCACATTGTGGATGTTCCCTTCTGAGTTGATCCCTTTCAAGCCTTCTCCTGGCTTCTTCATTTAATCTTCCAGTAATGTCAGTTAACGTAAGGTTATCTTTTGGCAGAACTTCAAGTGAAGTTACGTAGTCATCGTAGCTCTCATCCAAAGAAGACAAAATGATATAAACTTGGTGTAGTTCAGTGAAGATAAGTTCTTTTTCATGCAGTTCTTGAAAAATTCTCTTCATTGAGTTTATATGATTCAGCATGTCTCCATTCTTTTGAAGATGTGTTCTAAACAGTTTTCGTGTAAGATTTATATGTGCTCCTACACTGTCTCGAACATAAATCTTCTTTAAATTCTCCCAACATTTCGCAGCTGTTTCTTCTCCACGAATATGGACAAGCTGTTGGTCAGAGAGTGTCAGTCCTATTATACAGAGAGCTTGCTTCAGTTGATATTCTTGTATTTTCTGGGCATTATCCTCATCCTCCGGATCCCATGCATCTACTTCTGGTGGGTCTTGAATTATACTCCACAAACCTTCTCTTCGTAGAAGTAGGCTGCATTTCATAGACCATGAAACATAGTTTGTTCCATCCAGTTTGGATATTAGAGACAAACTTTGTAAATTGACTTGTGCCATCTTTATCTGGATATTAAACTATAATTAATAAAACACAGCTGTCTGTTTACAGTATTGTGTAACTACACAAACTCTCACTCACAAGCCTGTTATATCCTGGTTAGTCTGACTGTGCACCTGGGCCCATAACCAGTGTTAGGGATATACACCCTAGCAGAACGTGCAACGGCAGTCTAGCAGGCAGGCAGATATGTGAGACAAAACGTTGTAGTAGCTTACACTCAGTAAGACAGATACACTGTGCAAGTTAAATAGTTTTTATTCCAGCAAGAGTTATAGCATAGTCAAACGGTCAATATGTCATACACTAAGTTCAGTCAGTCCGGGGGTTATTCAGTTTGCAAAGTCCAGTGTCGAAAAAGAGTTCATTAAACTTACAATCAATCAGTCCAGTGATATATCTCTTGTGCAGTCAGAGATATGAAGAAATAATCAAACCCCTTTTCTTCTCTCAGCAAACACGCAGTTATCACCATCAATCCATCATTGTCAGCATTCCAGTAAAAGCCGGCAAACAGTGAGCCCTCTTGCTCCCTCTTATGGTGATTTTACAACCGCACCCAAAAACTTGGTTTATAGTTTAAAGTGATACATACACTTAAACTCACTAACATAGTTTATATATATTATTTTACCCAAACTAAGTTAGGTAACCAATGTTATCCCTAACAAAGTCTCAAAGTATTATGAAATGTGAAAACATAAACTTCAAATTAGATGGCATCATCTGATCCTTTCCTTGCATGAAGGAAAATAATTTTCTCACCTACCAGGTATTTTTTAAAAAATCTTTAGTATTTCTGGACATCCATCAACAGTGTGAAATTTGAATTTGTTTATTTGCAATCATCATAAATACATGGCAGTTGTCAATGTCTGAATTTTCATCATGTGACCATGAAGATGCTGCAATGGTCCGAAGGGTGAAAAACATTCATAAGTCACATTTTTTGCAATGCCATTGTAACTTCAAATGGTCACTAAACAAATGGTTGTAACTCGAGGATGACCTGTAATTACTTAAGAAGCAGTCCAGAACTGCAGGTCTAAGTTCACCATTCATGATCAAAGTCAGGAACTAGTTATTTTTCTCCTTATTTATGAATTCCGGTATCATCCACCATTCGGGAATATGATATTTGTTTAAACTGATGGAAAATTAAGAAGAGATGATAATATTTTTAAAAAACCATATATTTTTTCCACCCAAACTTCCCATCTTCTTATATGATTTACTCAATGGAAACCTGTCTCTCTTTGAACAACCAAGGTAACTCTGAGAGAAATAAATGACTCCTAGTCCATGTGCCAGAAAACATATACATGTTGAACTGTGTGTAGTTTTCTTGAGGACCGAAGCAAACTGAGTACAATGTGTCAGAGGTCAGCTGAAATATTTTGTTTACTGCAGCACCTTTCAGTTTGTGCAGCTTAGAGAAGGATTTCCCAAACCAGGTGCAAGTTTTCATTACAAATCTCCCTCCCTAGTGGTAATGTTAGTCAACAGGAATCAATCTGCAAATTTCTGGCGTTTTTTTTTAGTCCAGAGGAATGATAGCAATAGATCTGCGTGACAGATCTTACTTCAGAAATTCAGTCCTTCAGCGAGTTTTCAAAAGTCAATAGGAGCAAATCAGGAAGGTGAATAAACACAGTACAGACCACCATTAGTAGAAGGGCCACCTTTTAGAGATTTGAAACTGGAACTTTTAGGAAACTGAATCTCTCTATATGGGTGTTCTGTCCTTATTGCTGAGGTAAACGTAGCTATAAACTCCCAGGTTCACTCCTTATTAACATGATGTTTTATCATTCCTTGTTGACATCTTATGCTATTTTGCTACTATGTGGTTTCTACTATGCGGTTCATTCTAGGGAATACCCCTTACCCTGAGGGGAATCATACACTCTTACAGTTCACTTTATTTGGTAACTTGCCTTTAGGATGACTAGATTTATTGATTATGTTTATGTTACGATTATGGTTAAGGCAAATGAATAGACAGAGAAATGAAACATTGCAAAGTAATGCTACAGCAGCCTAATCATATTTTAAAGTACCATTAGTCTTTTGAAATGTTTTGCAAACTGGGCCTTACAAGGAAAGCAGCTCCCTGCAATGCGTTAAAACAACCCATTATTTTCAGGGAGCTGCACAAGTCTGAAAAAAGGATGCTGCTACTTTAAAGAGTCGACTCATTCATGTGATGCTTAATCAGACACAGCATTTTTTCAGACTTAAGAAGCCAGGCTGCTTTAATGAATAGCACAGAGTTGGGTGTTCATAGTTGTGTGAGGTCTAAGGCAGATGTTCCAAATCAAAGTATGCACAGTTCTAATCTTTAGCCTGATTGTCACTAGTAGTGATTATGTAGTTGCTATATGGGTGTTGAGTAAGGAATGAATATGCTATGCACAGAAGACAAGCAAAAATGTTCCATGCAAGCCTAAATCAACCAAGCCTACTTTCCCCCCCTACATAGTGAAACAACTGTTGAATCTCGAGGAGTACAGCTTTTCTTTGAACACTTTGGAACAGGTAATCCCTTTAAATAATACCCTTATCTGATAGAATTTGTGGGGATTCCCTCCCTCCCCCCCAGATCTTACAGCCTTATCATGGCAGAAGGGTGCTCCTGGGAGGGGTCCAAGTGAAGAACACTAGTAGAATATATGTTCTACTATGGAGTGACCCTGTGTTCTCCATAGAGTTGCTCAAGGCATGAAGGCATTCCAAAGCAGCCCCCTATATCTGGCCATAGTGACCTAGAAAGATGTTTGGAAGCAGATCTGCTTCCTACTGCTTCTTAGTGGGCAATGGGGAATCACTCATGTATTTTATCAAGAAAATCATATGGGGTTGCAAGGCTTTGGTGGTGGCAGGAATCCGCTTCTCTGCGGGTCCCTGCTGCGCTCGCCGCTGAGGTATCCCCGATCCAACTGGATTTGGGCGGTGTTGCTACCCCGAAGGGGCAGCGGAAGACAGAGGAGATCCAGGCAGGGATCTGGGGATATCGCACCCCCTTTCCCCCGCCGGCTAGACTCCTTTTTCCTGAGGCGGTGGAGCGGCTGTCAGAAATGGCAGCCATAAAGGAATCTTCAACCGGATAAGACTGTGCAGGAGGAAGAACCAGAAGGAGAAGTTTTCTTGGCTGAACCGGGACATTAAGATACTTTTAAAACACCCTGGAAACCTGACTTTTGGATTGATACATTTGTTTCCAAAAGAAGTTGCTACAGCGGCGAAAGTGCTGAAAGGAAAGTTCACTCCCCTTCCTTACGGAGAAAGCAAATGAGCACAGAAAAACCTGCTTCTTTAAGGTAAAAATAAGCTCTTTGTTACAAGTGGGAAGGAGAGGACTAAAAAAAATCTTTAAAAATTTGTTGGAGGAGACGCCTTGAAGATTATAAGACCAGCAACTAACTAATACGGCTTTAAAATATATTTGGGATTTTGCCCCAGGAGGAAAAATTGCAAAGAGAAGAAGAGGAAATAATTTCTGTCTGTTTGGATTGTTTGATAACTTTGACATTTGGAAATTACTTTAAGATTAAAAACATCTGGGTTGTTCTTAAAAATTTACAATGGCACTATCTGTGGATGAATTAAAAATGGAATATGAAAAATTAAAAGAAAGAGAACAAAATGGCAAGGATTCTTTGGGAGCTGTCTTCCACTTTTTAGAAATGGCGGTTTCTACATACCAGCAAATACTTGAGGAAGAAGGAGAAGAAGAAGAAGAAAAGGAAGACATTTTTAATGGACAAAAAAGTTCAATTAAGAAAGAAAATAGGAAGAGAGGAAGGAAAAATGAAAATTTAAGATTCAATAAAACAACCAAGAAAAAGAAAAATAAGGTGAAAAAAAGGTACAATGTTAGAAAGCAATTGAAAAGAGAATTACAACAGAGAGGGGAAGTTAAAAAGGTGGAGGTTAGGAGGCGGGGGGCAAAAAGACCAGACTGGAGAAGAAAGGGAGGGAAAAAGGGAAAAAAAGCCATGGTCTGAAACAAGATGCCAAAAAGCAGATTTTTTTTAGAGATAAAGGATAAAGGATAGTGTATAATTAAAGAAAGATTCTGCAAGAGTACATAAGATAGTGTAGTATTTGCATTTGAAATAGTCTATTGGAATATTATAAGATTTAACAAAATATTAAAATGTTTAATAATGATAGATCTCAATATTTAATAAAATATTAAAGAGAATGTGTAAAATGATTAATGCTTAGTTATAGTTTAATTCGTTATTGTCTTAATGTTATTATAAATTTCTAAAATAATGTATTAATTAGAACTAGAATGGAAATTATATACTTAACTATATTATAAGTTTATTATTCTTTTATTTTAAAATACAACATGTAGAATGTACTAAGCAGAATCAGGATGGAAATTATGTATTATTTTAAGTGTTACTTTAGGGGAAAGATAGAAAGGCGTCACACTTTAAAAGTGATTACAGGGGAAATTTTTTGCTAAAGAGAAGAGATAAATAGACAATTGGAAAAGAACGGACAAAAGATACAAGCATAATGATTTTGAAATAAGATGAAATAAACAAAATATAATTAAGAGAGTGAAAAGAAGGGAGAAGTTATATAGAAAATATAGAATGGTTAATAAGATATGAATGGTATATAAGGTGAGCATGAATTTGATTTAGGTCTGTAAAAAAAGATGTAACCCGGGGCTAAGCCACTTTTCAAAAGAAGTTTTATGTTTTGTGTTTTGGTTAGCTATGTTTGATTGAGAATTAATAAAACCTTGGAGGAATAAAACTAAAGGGAGAGAAATTTGGAAAAGACATGTACAAATGATAATTAAGGAGGTTTTATCTTTTTATGTCTTGTTTTATGTCTTGTATTTTGTGTGTTTATGTTTGATTGAGAATTAATAAAACCTTGATAGAAAGAAATATAATTGAATAAAAGTGAAGGGAGAAACAATGAGAAATTCGGAAAAGATATATAGGTGTTTAAATGGAAATGTGATAATTTGGAACTATGCCTTAAAAAATAATGTTTTATTTGCCTTGTTAAAACTTATAAGTAATTTTTAGAAAGGATGTTTTGTGCTTTTATGTCCTATGTTTTGTTTGTCTTCAAAAAATCAATAAAATTTGTTTTGTTTGTTTTAAAAAGAAAACCATATGGATAGACAAGATAAACCGACTGATGATATAGTGCTGGATGACAGGCCCCTTGATTTACCTATTTATTTATTTTTAAATTATATTGCCATCTACTCATTCACAGTGACTCAAGGAAGTTTACAGGAGATTAAAAACACAATATACAAGAAATAATAATAAATAATAAAAATAATAAAATAATAATCCCCATCCTCCCACCTTGTTGACAACATGTACTCATACCAGCCATTTAATGGGCTCCATCCCATTCTGGGTTCCCCAGGCCCGCTGGAAGAACCATGTCTTCAGTGCCTTCTGAAAGAGTGTCAGAGTGGGGGCCAGTCTACTTTTTGAAGGGATGATGTTCCAGAGGGAGGAAGCCACCACAGAGAAGGCCCTTCTTCTAGCACCAGATGCATCTTGTTTGGGATGGGACCTGCGATATGCCTTGCCTCCCCGCTCTAGTGATAGGATGGCACTTCATCTTACTGAGAAAGGGCTGAAAATATTTCAGAGTACTAATGATGTTTATGATGCAGCTACATCATCCAAAAGATCCTTCTTTTACAAAAAGAACTAAAACTAATATTTTCCTAGGAAAGATAAATATTAGGCAACTGTTATCTCTTATACCATTTATCCATCATTGACTAACTTATTAAACATTGTCTGCTTTATGTAGGCTTTCCTAGAACTTTGCAAAGAGCAAGAGCGAGATTATTTTGATTTGGCTCCGAATACAACTTTTGATTGGAAGAAACTTCAAGAACGTGATCTCTAAGTCGTCAACACATTTTTTTAAAAAAGAACAGTAATGACACAAGCACCGATTCCTTGATCTAGAAGAGAGAATATTCTCTAGATAATGGGGCTTATAATCTGCTACTTAGAATGGAAGTCTTTAAAGAAAAGGCATTATGACTAACCCTTATATTAGCCACATCTAGAAAATTTACAGTTCCAGAAAATTTCAACCAAGAAGAAAATGACTTTTTCTGTATTGTTTTATGTTTCAGGGACATAAATTTCACCTTTTATTGTGGATGTAAATTAAAGTATACATAATACTTTCAAATATATACTTTTAGATCTGCTCTCCTAAATGTGTACAGATATATTTTTCAGACTAAAATATGTAAGTGCCTTAATTCTGATAAATATGATATATACAGTATACTCAAAGGTTTATATGGCAAATAAATTGCTGCACTCCAAATATCTAGGCCTCTTTCTCTCCTTTATCCTACATTTTTAAGCTTGCAACAGTGAAAAACGGAACACAGAAATATCAACAGTGCAGAGAGAAAAAATGAATTTTTTGAGGGGGAGAGATGCCGCTTCTTCATATTGTTAGCAATACTGAGAAACAGAAGAAAGCATAGAAAACTTTTTATTTTGTTCATCAGAAGTGCGATCAATATTTGTCAGAGCCTGAGCCAGAGAAGCAAATAACACTTCTCAAACCCTACTGAAAATGAAGAAAGCTCAAAAGCAATCAAATTATTTTTCCTGTATGAAGTACACTTTTCCCCAAACAGTAGAGTATAGCAATCACTTCTTTCAGACCTGGCTCTTCCCTCAAATTATGCCCTCCCCGGTCTGAAGCAATTTATCTGGCCTGGGGCCTGCTGTGCTCAACCAAAGGCTGTGGGGGGGGGCGCGGGGGGCGGGGGGCAGCGTGGGCAGAGGGAAGTCCTATCCGGAAAGCACTACAGTGGAGAGAAGCAGCCGGGTTGAACCTCCGGCGTGTCTCAGATCTTGCAGTCGCTTCTTCCAGCCCTTGGTGTTGGGCGAGCCTCAGTCACTCACGGAGCCACTCCATGGGCTCTCCAGGTTGGCAGCTGCTTCTCTCGGCTGCTGCTCTTGCTGGGAGAGCACAGCAAAGTGAAATTTAGCAGCCCTGAGCCACCGCTTTCCTCTAAGTCCCACCTGGAAAGCGCTGTGGCGGAATGCTGCTTCTCTCCACTGCAGTGCTTTCTGCCCTGGGGAGACATTGTGACCCCTAACTGCATTGTTTAATTCTCCACACTGGAGCCAAAAGTCATCCAGTGAACTTCCAGTGAGCTCTTTATCTGTGGGTTGAATAAAACACACCCTTAAATTTTATTCCAAAGCTGTAATCATTACAACATAGCAATTTTTGTAGGTTTTGGTATCTCATGCACTTCCTGACATTTATTAATGCATTATAAAAATTTCACAATGTTCTGGATGTTAATTTACCAATAGAAATAATGACTGGAAACGAAAAACACTCTGTGTAACATGTCATCCTCCATGAAATATTTTCTTGAGGTAACAGTTGCAGTTTGATAGTGGATACTATCAAACCATCTTCTTATGTTATGCCAGGTCTTTCTCAGGCTGAGTTCTCTCATTTACTGATTTGGTATGAAAAGTCAGCATTTCACATACATTCTTTGTCACATCTCTGACACTTCAAAAAATGTTCTTAAAATGGACACAATTAAATAGGATTCTTCTACCACACATATTTGGAAAGGGGCAGATTACGAGAGCTAGTATAGCTGTAACAGAAGAAAAAGCTGCTGCTTTCTTGGCTACTGACCTCAGGAGAAAGGATAGCATAAATCTCCAGGTGTTTTTCCAGATATGAAAGGGATAATGCTGGATTTATGCTGCTCCTATGGCCATGAATTGGTATAGGCAAAAATACCCTTTTAATCGTGAAATCCCTACCATAAGATATTTTATTGCTTTTTGATATGATCCGCTATTACAGTACCATGCTGTTATTTTCTTTTATATGTTTGCAGTTAGAGTAGAAGAAATACATCAAGCATTGTCATTTCTACTTTGTTTTTAGAATAGCTTGTGCTGTAGAACTCCAAGGTCATTTTAAAAAATAATAAAGACCTTAACTGGGTTAACCAGAAAAGTAAGTTCAGTATTCTGTTAGTCAGATATAGATGGACAGATGTTAAAGGTTGGTACATATCTGATAGAACAATTAAAGACAGTTGGGCTGTCTGAGCCATTTGATTCCTTTCATTCTTGCGTTTCATCTCTTCCCTTTTTTTTTCCTATAAAAGTCCAGGCCAAGTTGGTGTGTGGTGGTCTCCCATGGAAAGAATGAGACACAAGCGAGTGTTCTCGGGATGGGAGCCCAGAGTATATTCCAGTGCTTCCTTTTATTGAGATTTTAGTACATAGTAAGCATAATTACATTGTGGATTAATAATTAGATATAGTACAGGCTTGTTTGCAGTTGTCTAAGCTGCCTCCTTATTTGTATTTGTCCTTATTGTTCTCATTCCCTTGCACTATCTTAGTGACCTTTAAACAGGCATATATGTATTAATTATATTAATCATTACTCAAGCCCAAGCCAAAGTTTATTCCCACATCTCCCCTGTTTTAGTTTTTTGATGATCGCGGATGCCTCGGTAGCTTTTCGCCATCTGCAACAGCAATTCTCCTTCCGTAGGCTTCACCCGACACATTCCTAAAAGTCCAGGGAGACATTGGATAATACAGCATGCACAAAGAGAAAATATAAAAAGCAATATCACTCCAACAATTAGGTGATGAATCCATGAACCATTTGGCAACCAGGACCAAAGTGCAGACCACACGTCCAGTCCCTCACCCTCCGATTGTAATGGATTCTCCTTCAGGGTTTGTTCCATATGCTGTATAGTGGCTGTAATGTTTGGAAAATAATCAGAGATATACATGCAACAATGCGTATGAATCACAGCGCAAACTCCCCCTTGCGCAGCCAGAATAGTATCCACCGCATATCTGGTTTGAAGGACAAAGTCACTAATTTTTCCTTGCTCTTCTTCAAGCAGCCTTAGTGTTTTAATGGTGTCTTTAAACATAGTAACTGTCCAATTGTTTAAACAATGCAAATCTCTATAGTTCATCATGACTCCTAAAGGAGGAATAACTCCCCTTGATATCTGTGTCCAGTAGTCATGAGTCAAAACAGAGTTTACTTCCGTTGCGGAACGCGCATTGCGGATATGAGCAGTCCCCAAAGATTTTTGAATGAAATGAGATGGGATTACTTTCCCAAAGGTGCAGACCCCTTTCCATCGTGCTGGCATGCGATCATAGGCCATCCGTCCACAGAGCAACCATAAATTTGCTCCCAGGAGATGAACAACCTTATTTGGCTCAGCATAGATTAATTTTGCAAAGGATTCCATTAACATAGCCAAATAAGTGGACGTATTTCCCATTCGCACATTTGGGCAACCGGTTGCTGTCCTCCGTGGTGGGACAACATGTAGCAGGAATATATGGACACCCATTTTCATTGATCAAAGATGTGATATCATATCGAGAAATGTTATGTACAAAGTAAGTGAGATTTTTAGTTTTCATGTCTTTCGAATAAACCTGACTTCCATTGCTAATAACAATTGTTTTGTTGCAAAACGGATATGCCCCCAAGTAAGTCATATTCTCTACCGTCTCATTGTGGGTCCAACAGATACCCGCCACCTCTTGGATCCGGCTTCCAAGGTGTAAGGTATTTATGTTACTTGTAGTCCAACTGCTAGACCACATCCCCGAACAACCATAGCATTGTCCCTTATACCAGTCACCTTCGGCAAGAGGTATTGCAACCATTGGAAGCCCTGATGTTTTGTGAGTTGGCATGTGCATACATATCCAACAATCAGTTTTATTATGAAGGTTTGCTAGCTTCCCCATGTCCTGGATCAACGTGTTTCTTTTCCATTCCCCCAAATCCATCCCCTTGCCCCATTGGCTGATGATAAGGACGCACACAGCGAGCAGGAACCCAAACAACTGTCCCCTCATCTTCAACAGCAGCGTATCCTCGGCCCCAAGTTATCAGCGGGACAGGTCCTCTCCACGTTGGATCTGGCAGTCTCCTATACCGAACTTTCGGTCTTGGCGTACCTGCAGAAGGGGAGGAAGCAAAATGCCTACTGGCTGCCGTAGCAGCAGGAGATCCTGTCATGTTTAAAAAATTTAAAGTATATAATGTAATATTAAAAATGTTTTGTATGTAAGGCAAGCCATATCCATCCACTTCCCCCGTTTTTGTTTTTATGTGAAGGAGTGTTATACGGACTAGAAGTTGGCTCAATGTGTCCTAATTGTAGCTGCTCAGCTACCAATTGATGTAAAGCTATAAGCTTTTCCTGTGGAAGTGGCCATTGGTCAATCAAAACTTGCTGAGAGGTTAACAGTTGTAATTTTTCCATTATCCAATAACAATTTTTGTGCGGAACTGTGACAGTAAATCTCTACCCCACAAGTTTATGTGCAGGGGCAACACAAGAGGTTGAATCCTTGCGGTCTCGCCAATTTCTCTATGCAATGCCTTCAACCAATGTACACTACTTCTTGTAAATTGCATACCACCCACTCCACGAACAGCCGGAGAGTCCTCAAGTGCCCATTCAGTTGGCCATTCCTTTTGGCGTATCACAGAGACATCTGCTCCGGAATCTATAAGGCCAGAAAATGATTTTTCTTGAATTTTAATTGTCATTTTAGGTTGGTCTGTAGTCAACTTTTTTGTCAGTGCTAGCAATTCTGCAGCAACTGGAGAACTGGCCATTTCAGTGGACCCAAAACCGCCAGTTCGTGGGACCCCAATTAAAGGATTCATAGGAATGTATGGAAGCAATAATAATTGGGCAATAGAGTCACCGGCCATTAATGATGTAGGAGTATCAGTGTACAATTGTACCTTAATAACCCCTTTATAATCTTGATCAATAACCCCTGGAATAACAAAAAACCCTTTTTCTGATGCAGAAGACCTGGGAAGTACCAATCCCACTGTTTTTTCTGGCAGTGGCCCATGCAAATGAGTGTCCTCAATGTACACTTGATTAGGAAAAATCACACCAATTGAGTTCAACATTTTTAAACCCAAACCTGCACTCCCAGTAATTGCAGGCGATGCTTTTGTGACAGCCTTGGGAGCAGGGCTAGCTGCACGCCCCAAATTTAGTTTCCCGAATTTTGGTTCTGATCAGAGCGACATTGATTTGCCCAATGAAACCCTTTTTTGCATTTCGGACAGACTGACTTCGGGCGGACGTCCTTATTTTTGTTTTTGTTAAATGCCATTCCCCCCCCCCCCAGGTGCTCAGCACTGGGCTTTAAAATGGCCAGGCTTCCCACAATTAAAACAATTCCCTGTAGGTTTCATCCCTTTTTGTAA